TTAGTTATTTCTTATTCTTGTTATTATTAGTTATTTCGTTATTATTAGCTGTTTCGTTATTATGTATTAGTTTTTCCTCAAATTGTTAACGGTAATAAATTTTAAAATCTTTTTATTTTAAAATCTTTCTTTTAATAAATTTTTATTTTATTTTTCTTATTGCATTGTTTTACGGATTCCTGCAATCAGTTCAGCCTTAATTCAGCTACTGAACATATAAATATTCTTTTTGCTGTTCTTCTGTTTTTTGGCGCGGTGCCAACTAGTAAGAACAACTTTATTTTATATAGTTTTGTTGTTTTCTTTTTCTTTTTTTTTTGCTGAAAGAGAAAACTTTTTTGTTGCTTTTTTTTTGCTGAAAAAGAAATTTTTTATTATAATTTAGAAATTAAAACTTTATTTTATGAAATGCATAAAAAAATTTAATTTTTTATTATACAGATATTCTAAATGGTAATTTAAAGGTCTCTTCTGAAAGGATGCTGATATACGCGGTTCAGCGCCATTGCGGCGCTTGCGCCGGAGCGGCGCTTACTATAACTTTTTTTATTAAAAATTCATTTTTATCGAGGTGCGGCGCTTGTGACGAAGCGGCGCTTTCGCCGAAAAATACGGTACTATAATATTTATATATTTACATGATAAAATAGTTTTTTGACAGCGGGTTCAAGCAACAACAGTGGAATAATTTTAATATTTGAAAACATGGTTGGTGAACGGCTATGAAATGGAATAATAAATGTTTTTTATGAGTGCCATTGCTATTGCGGTGCTCGCCACTCTCACCAGTCTTACCGCCAGCTTGACGATTTAAGATCTTCAGGTAAAAGCAACCTTGTGATATATATTCTGTCCTTCAGATGAAGAACAGCCACTTACCTTTTCAACTTCTTCACTAGCTAGCTTGGTCGCAGGACGACCCATAATGTTTAATTTTGTTTATGTTATATTAATGTTTATGTTTGTGAAATAAATATGTTCTGAGAGAAATCAGCATTTCGTACCCACTTCACTGTACTTTATTATTAGTTTACCATTTTTTATTATTAGTTTTTATCTTTGAAAGTTTAAACGCTCCATAGCCATTTCTTGAAGATGCCAACTCAATATTTAGGGTAGTAATAACAAAAAATATGATGGCTGATATAGTTTTTAAATAGTTATAATTTACTTGCATAATTGATAGTTTAGGAAATTATAGTTTTATTTTCATTAACAATATGATTTTATGTAATCAAATTATTGTATAACTTTTACTTTACACATGTCCTAATTGAATTGGGCATGTTATTTTTTTCTTTTTAATTTTATTTGTAATATGCATTTTTTTAAACAACTTAATTTTTAAACTTCTTATGAAGTTAAATTTTATCTATACGCATACGGTAGAATCTTGTTCAATAGTTTCTCATGGAACCATTCATTCTAAACAATAAAGATCTGTGGAAACGATGAATATGGGTCAACATAAAATATCAAATAATTGTGTGAAAATTTATGAAAAGTAATAATGGCTTAAGATGTATAATGGAGTAATTGATTTGAAAGTTAATAACTTTATACTAAATATAAAAAATTTGATATTGAGACAAAAATATGTGCTTACTGTAAAAATATTTACAATGCAAAAAGAGACAAACACATTTATTTTTTTGAAATATTTGGAAATGTTAGTTAAAACACTCTTCTAAGTGCAAACAATAAATTTTTGACATTCATATCAGATTATTATTAATTTTTTATAAGTTCGTGTGAATTCAGAAAGTTCTTTATTGTTTCAAAGGCTTTGAGACCTTCTGCAGATACTGATATTGGTTGTGGTTCCATTTCTATGTCTTCATCAATATCACTTGTCACTTCTTCAACTTTATTATGTATTAAATGTTATAAAATCAGAGTTATAAACTGAGCCTGACAAAAAGATTAAATTGTGCTTGTAGTTTTTAAAACAATGATTGAGAATTTTAAAACTGTAATCAGTAAAAAATGTTGTTCAATAGACAATACTTCATAACTAGTGCTCCATTTTAAACGAATGTACAAAATTTTAAATTATACTTTTATTTTTTACAAGCATAAAAACTGATTTGTTATAATTAAAATTAAATACTTGGTAGAATTATATTTTCTTAATCTATAAAATTTATGTAATCTTAGTAATCTATGAAAAAGTACACAAAATTTTGACTGCCAAAAAATTCTCCTGAGGCACATAATAGATTTACCCAGTCTCTGAAACTACTTAATGAGATTAAAGTAATTCTTAACTTAATGTTTAAGTAAAATCTAAAAAGAATATTTAAAACAATAGTAAAATACTTTCTCAAAAAATATTTTGCCCACAGTCTTTGTAAATATTGTAGAAAAATTTGAGAATGGATAAAATATTTTGATTTTGAAAAGCTTTTGTTTTGTCCTTTTAATATTTTTTAATGTTCAGTTAATCACTTTTTAAATCGTGTTTAATTTAACTCTAACTTCCCGCTGTAGCGAAAAGAATAGAAAAGGGGGAAAAAACAGAACACTTCCTCAATGCTGATTGGAAAAGAAATCTTCAAAATTAGCTGAATTTAAATGTTAATATCTCTCAAACCATAATCGAAACTTTAAGCCTTTTTATGTGCTTATCATAAGACTTCTTTATTGTAAATAATCAAAAAATTAAAAATGCAGTTACTATATAGTGTCAATATTTAATTTTATTTTAAATTTTTAAATTAACTTTCTATATCTAGCTATTAATAATATAAAATATATTTATTTTTTCGTTATGTTTCCTCCTTATAGAGTTACTACGCTGCCTGGTAAATCATAAAAAGTTGGGGAATTTGGAAATTGAACAAAAAAGCCGGAAACTTTAAATTTTTGAGACAAAATCTGAAAAAGTCAGGAAGTTTAATATGGCGAATGCCAAGCATGCAGTGTTTGTTCATACTCCTACTACTATAGATTATTTGTAGTTTCTATGCAATTTCGTGTGTTAAAATGTGAATTTTAACCCTTTCTACGAAAAGTCCAATCTTTATGTATTTTTTTAGTTTTAGCTTTTTTATTGTTTTTCTGCCATTTCTCTGTGGTTTTCCAAAATTCCAATATATTTAATATATTTGAATAATATTACAATACGCAATTTTTATTACTATCAGGTTATTACTTATTGATGTGCTCCATTCGAAACTTTTCCATCTTGACTCCTGTTCTCGTTTTTTTTTTTTTTTTTTTTTTTTTTTTTTTTTTTTTTTTTTTCTAACTATTTATCATTTTTTTAAAGTTATTTTCTCAAGCTGTATCAAAATCCGATATTCTTAAATGTAAGTTATGACTTTTTGATGCAATGATTCCATTGTGAATATAAGTTATTTTTTTATCGTTTTTTCAGTCATTTCCGCATGATTTTTCAATGTGAATATTTTTAATATAACAACAGGACACATAAATTTTGAATCAGATTGGCCACAATTCCAAATTGTAAATTTTTTAAGAATGTTTTTTAGATACACAAATTTTGGATTTGGGTAATCACTTTGGCAAACCTGATTCGTGAGGATTCCTTAATTAATCAATGTTGTTGCCCAATTTGCTTTCTACAGCTATTCATCATTTCTTTTACCATTTCAGCAATGTCTTTCAAATTCCAATGCTTTTTAATGTGATTTTATTGCACTATTTCATAATGAATCTGTTTTCCTATCATTTTCAGCAGTTGCTATTCATTTTTACGGTAGTCTTTTTATTTCTCTGTATAGGGGAGTTTTATTTTTAATTAAAAACATAATGTAATGTATAAATTTTTTGTGGGTCACTGTATGTTTCATTCCCAGTGCTTCTAATATTGACTGCGATATTAGATTGGAATTTTTTTTAAATATGTCTAGAAAATCCAGAAACTCAGAGAATTCTTCTATACTCTGTCCTTAATTACATGATTTGTATTTTGGAGATTAAATATTGCATTAGTTATTTCAGTAAGCACAATATCTGTAGATAATAGATGCAGATTATTTCTGGCTACTTTTTTCAAAATGCTGACATTAAAGATTGTAGACAATACACCAGAAACTTATCGAATATTTGTTTATCAATAAAGAATTCTATATTGTAAGCATGTATGACTCCATCTTGAAGATAGGATGTTTTCTCAGAAATAGAGAGGACAATTTTTGGCTATATGAATATAATTTCTACTGATCATATAAAAAAAATTTTTTTAATAAATTGTAACTGAATTGAGATGAAATTTAATTTTGCTTTTTCTCTATGTACTTACCAAATGGTAGAACTGAGGTGAATAAGGTGCACATTTTCTATTAAGAAGAAATTCTAAGAAGAAGAAATTGGGCTTGCAAATTAGTACAAAATTAAATTTGACTGTCTAACAAACAAATATTTTTTGCTTTATCATTTTTGAAATATTTGCCAAAATATATTTGTCTAGAATCTTTTTCTTATATGTTGGTTTGCATTTCGAGATTTCCTGCTATAGACTTTTTTAAAACATTGCATGCTTTATTTTGTCATTTACTTTTGCAATTTGATCAAGTGAACAGATCAGCTTTTCATTCTCAGATACTTAAAAAACAATTAGAAAATTCTTTCAAGTCTTGTTATTATGCTCCTGATTTTGTTTTAATTTTTAAAAATAAAGTATTCCTGCTTTGTAGTGTGGTTTGTTATTTTATTTTTCTCAATTTTAGAATAAAGATGACTCCCTCAGGTTGTTAACTAACAAATCCAGTTATCATTCTGTTGATTTAAAATTGTCATTGCCATAGCCCAAAAAACTTTCAACTCTGCTCTTAGATATGACTCATATTATACAGCATTCTCTAAGGTGAAATAAGATGTTTAAAGTGTTATAAGAAAAAACAGTACATTCTAAAATGTATTTTTAGTCTTATTCTATTAAATTTGTTTATTCTTTTAGGCTACACTAATGGATAAGTTGTCGCTGGAAGAGAACAATTTTTTACTGTACAGTATCAGTATATGTGTGTGGTGCTCTCTCTAGAATATGTAATGTTTTAATGGTTTTTCTTACATTTTCAAAGAAGGATGTACAGTAATATATGTGTTGAAATTTGGCACAATATTAAATCAAATAACAAAAGTTTTGTATATAATTTTGTTTTTAATGCTACTCATATCTATTTTTAATCAATCTATGTTTCTGTCTGTGTAGCCAATTGTACCAATATTATAAAGCATACATTTTATTTTGAACTGTAAGCTACCTCATATGATACCTAATATTTTGATGCCTTTTATAATTAATTTACCACATTATACAATGAAATAAATTTTAGTTGATTAAGAATTCTGTATTTTAAAAATAGACGAGCTGGAGATAAACTTCTGTCATGGATCAGGGCTAAAGAGAGAGTAGAAGGGCTGGTTCACTCCTTTTAAGAAACTCTCACTGCGCCAAACCTCCGATTTTCACCTGTGGCGTCACGGAGTGTTCAGTCTAACTAATATTGGAGCATTCTTTTTTGTGACATATTCCAGGACATTCATTGTTTTTTATAATGATTTTCCTCAGTTTTTTTTAAGTGAATTACAAAAATTTAAAATTATTAACGAAATGTAATATTAACTTACTTATCAAAGTCATAGAAAGCTTAGAAATAATTGAAATCGATGTAAAATCGCTGTAAAAGCAATTGTTTCAGATTTAGGATGATGTGGGACACTTTGGAAGAATCTCCAAATAACAATTGAAGCAGTTTATTTTTTTTATCATATCCGACCTTCCTCAAAAAGTTTCATTTTTGCTGATATACCTAGTTACTGCGGAATCATTTTTTATTGGACTCTGGAATAATTTTAGATGATGGAACTCTTATTAACTCTGGAATTGTTGAAGAAGTATTAAGAACAGATACCGGATAAATAAAATTGTGCCACAAGCTAAAAGAGTCATATCTCTTAGTTAAAGGTAATGATAGACAGAAAGTTACACCAGCAAAGATGTTATTCTCTACCACTACAGCAAAAGGAATATTAAAGTTAACAAGAAGGCACATGATTTTTTTAAATTGGTAATTTGTTTGATGTGAGCAAGAGCTTAGAATCCCCTCCAGCAAAAAGTATGTAAGCTGCTTTCGGAAATTTAAATTATTTTCAATCTCAATCAATTGTTCTAAATGAAGTCAGAGAAGTTGTAAGCAAAATGCGAGTGCGTGGTAAAAATTTTCTACTTCCATTTCAAGAAACAATTATTATCTCTATGTCTTCATTAGTCAAAGATTTAAAATCTGTTAAGTCCAACGTTAGACAATGCCAAACTTCATCTATCAAAAGGTACCTCAAGATTGAATCAAGTTAGCATGTCTTATATACCAGTGAATTGATGTTTAATAATCGTAGTGGTAGTTGCGCTACAATACTCCCCCACCAGAATTTTATCGGGAATAGAATTCGATGAACGGATACCACTACCTGCTATATTTGTAAAAGACCGGGAGAGCTGGATTATGGTCACCAGGTTTTGAGCTTTAGCCATGAGAGCTATATTAAGTTCATGGTTGTGTGTTACTCCTGTGTTGCTATTAGCAGTCGAGTGTGTGCAGAAACCAGTTGTGTGTAAATGAGACTGAGAAGCAACAGTGTGAGGAGGACGATGATGCAGTCACAAATAGCAAGTCAACTGTTCAAGGTGGACCATCCATCGAAGTAGGCATGATCATAGCTTGTCCGGGTCACCAATGTGGGGAAAGAACGTTAGACAATGTCAACCTTCATCTATCAAAAGGTACCTCAAGATTGAATCAAGTTAGCATGTCTTATATACTAGTGAATTGATGTTTAATAATCGTAATAGTAGTTACGCCACAAATCCGTCAGAGTAAGATACATTTTAACTACTAGATTAACTCAAGATGCTCTAGATAGTTTGTTTAGCTAAATTAGAGGTTTTTGGCAAATTTGATGACCATCCAAGTCCTGCCGAAATAATTAAGAGATTTAAACACTTGTTAATTGTAAATAAGCTACCTAATCTTATGTCAAAAGTATGCACAGAAATAAAAAATTCAGAAATAGGTTATTTAACTGCGGAATTATTAGAAAAAGCGTTTAATATCGACACAACAAAAAATACAGTTTCTGAAAATAATAATATTCCAGACAACGTAGAAGATATACAGTCCTTTGGCATATTATAAGACGCACTATAAGATTCCATGTAAAATTATAATTATCAGGTGATACTATACAGTTGTATTGTTTTTCCACGGATGAAACCGATTTGCCTTTGTTTACGCTCCTGTATCAATTGGTTAACAACGTAATGCAATGCGTTAAAAATAAATACAAATAGGAAGTATATAAAAAATATCCTGAATAAAAACCTATTACACGTATATGTTTAAATATAAAAGTATTGCATATAAACTGGTGCAAATCATGCAATTATTAAAAAACTACAGTGCGTCTAATAATTTTATCTAATTATTATAATATATAATATAGTGCTTGATATAATAAATATTCTATATTTATACAATATATTGTCTAATTTATCTTATCCTCAAATTTAACCAATTGATAACACTAACGTAAACAAGTGCAAACCGGGTTCAGTCACATAAAAACAATAAAGCTGTATAGTATCACCTGATAATTAAGATTTTACATAGAATCTTATAGGGCATTGAATAATTTGGTCAGGGACTGTACGTGCATGACTTCATTCCTATGTCTTGGGATATTGGCCTTAATTTGGGATACAAAGTGATCAATTAACAAGAAAAAGGACTAAATTAAATTGCTGGTTACATAGCATTTCACCTTAAAAATATTGATTCAAAATTAGGAATACCATCTTCTTAGTTCATCCAACAACAGGGGAGCAACACAAATGGATAAATCTCATATTTAAGGGAGGATTATTTGTTCCGTCAGCAGCATGGATATAAGAAATATGAGAATATTTTTCAAAGTGTGCATGGGACATCTTATAGAAAATCAAAAAGTGTCATCAAAGAACTTATAAATGAATTAGAGGGACGATATCCCGTAGTGAATAAAACAGCCATACACTTATTTTGTCGTCTAAGAACATTTATAAGAATTGCCATCTAAATAGAAACCGCCCTGTTACTTCAAAAAGAAAGGCAGGCGAAGAAAATAAAAACTTAAATGAAAAATATAAATAATTAATAGTTATAATTCTTCCAATTTCATAACATAGTTTTTAATGTAGTTATTCTAAATATTTATGATTTTTCTTAATTATATTCTCTTAAATTTAAATATCTATAAACAATTGTAAAATTCCTTATATTATTATGAACCTAAATTATTTTATTTCAGTAATTAGCGTTTAAGGTTGTTGTTTTCTAATGATTAAGTATAAACAAATTGCATTAACGACAAATTTAAAAATCGGGATTCTAAATTTAGCCCAACAAATTATTGTTATTGAACAATATGTAGCTAAAGTGTCGATATATGCTTTAATTTTTTTTTTACTAATAAAAGCTAAAACTAAAAATTTTTAAATAAAGTATTTATAGCATCATCTATGACAGCTAGTAAAATATTATTATTAGTTTAAAATGGTATTTATTTTAATATTATGGCCAAGAAATTTTTTTTGAACAGAAATGTGTTAAGTTAGAAAGCTAATATCAGGAAAAAGTCGAACTTATTTTTACAGAATGATGTGAAGTGTTCATAATATCTTTGCTCGCAGTCTTCGAGTTCTGTGTGCGGCGTGATGTCATAAGGAGGGAAATTGTAGCTTCAGCTCTAAGAGAGAAATGAACTAGCCCTTCTCTCTTCTCTTTAGCCCTGGTAATGGATACTTGCCAACTGTGTTGGTCTACAAATGTACAAAAACATGTCTCAGTTAATGTGTGAAAAAATAGAATAACTTTGTTTAGTAGTATAATTTTGATGTTAGATGTAAAAGATAATATGTGTCATTATTTACATTTTATAAGTATTTATTATTTTTTAATATAAGTTTAAGTGTAATCAAATTAATTTCTTTCTATGTGTGAATAAATGGTATTTTGTAAAATAAAAAAACCTATTTAAGGAATGTATTTAAAATGTGCACTTGTTGCCCAGAAATAGTGAGAAATTAAATAGAAAGTATTTTCTAAATATTTAGTTTTTGTAAGTTAATATATTTCATGTTGTAGTTAAAATAGAATAAATCGAAGCATTTCTTATGGTATCTTGTTTTAATAGCTTATAATAAAACATACACTTTATTTCCTTCAATTTTATCACTCATTTTAATATAGTGGCTGAAATTATATTTTTTGTCTGAGAAAATTCAAATCTTTAAAAAAAGTTATTCTAGACAGTCATTGGATGTGTAAGTTCAAAGGAATATTAAAACATATGTTTTGTTTGATACTAATCAGTGAAATTTCATTCTCCTTGAGTGAAGGGACTAAACCTTTTAAAAGATTCTCATTCCTGATAGTCTGTAACAAGGTGGGGAAATATTTATACCTTTTCATACAGTATTGATAATATATAAAAATATTGAACAGTCAGGAAAATTGTGCACCCTATATATGTATTAAGCAATATGTTTACTTTCTTTGCAAATTTATTTTTAAAGTAATAAAATTTATCAATCGTATTTTTCTTTTTGAAAATATTTATTATCTTTTGCAAGAAATGCTAATTCTATTTAGGAGATTAAATTGAGAGTTCCGTGTTGAGTATTATGAGGCTTGTACCTCCAAAAATTTGCAAGTGTTATTTATTTTTTCCTCCTGAGAATTAGGAATTTAAAAAAAAAAAAATGAAATAAATATAAGCTTACATTTATTATAAGTCTCCGTTATAAATTCCCGAGGGTGTGCGGTATTGGTCCTCGTTAAACTGTGCTACCGTAAAGTGCTCGACTTCGCGCGCAGGTCGTCGGGCTACCGAAGCGGGGGTGCCATCCCCTCCGCAGAGGATCAAAATTGTGATGGCATGTCTTCGGATCATCCTCCGGGATGTTTCCCAGACCGTCGCCAATAGCCCATTGTGCAGCTCTAGTGCGACGCAAATTAACAACAACAACCGTTATAAATTAATCAGGTGTTGAGTAAAAAAAAAAATATATAAAACTTTTTATAGTCGTCAAAATTCATGTGTTCTATTAAAAATATTGAGATTTTACAAAGAAATGAGTCACAAGTTAAAAGACAACAACAAAACTGCATTATGATTTAATGGTCCCTAATTTAGGACGTGAAAAAAATATATACTGACAAGCAATCTTAATGATTCAAAAGGATAACTTTAAAATGTATATGCCTTGAAAATCCTGAAACCTTTAAATTTTTTTTAACTCTAAAGGAGAAATTTATTTAAATCAATTTTAAATTAGATGCAAGATATGAAAATTTACAAGTAATATATTAAAAAAAGTCAATTTTAAAAGATGCAGAATTCTGTAGAAATAACTTCACAAAATAATTTAACATGCTAATTTCTTTTTTTTTTAGTATTATAGTTAAAGCAAATAATTATTAAAAATATTTTAAACCATTAACATACATTGTGTGCAAAAATTTTCTTAATTTTTCACAATCAGTTAGAGGTTCATAGAAGAGGATATAAAAAATAACAGTAGGAGCCAAACCATGGGTGGCTACAAGAGGGTAGATTTCCAGGGTCACCCCCTTGCAAATCTAATAAGTAAAAAATTATATTTTACTTTTAAGTGGTATAAAATTTATTATGTTAAATAATTACAAATACAGTAGAGCGCTGATTATCTGAATCCTTATCCGAACTATGTCCGAATTCGCTTTTTTTAAGTTTAGAATACTCGAACTTATCAAAAAATTTTCTAAATTTAGAAGAATAAATAATATCCACTACATCTAAAGACTATATTTAATTTACAACCTTTTTTAGCAGTTTTCTTACAGTAGCCATACATGCATGTATTGTATTGTTATACAGTTAAACCTATATACCAGTTTAGCCCTCTTCAAGTGAAAATTATCTACTAAGAATGCAAGGTTCATTTTGACAGTCTACAATGGTTAGAATGGGAAGAAGTTTATGAATAGATAAGAGCTGAAGTTCTAGAATGGGGGGGGATGGGTAGTTGTCACTTGTGATTAATGATTACAGAGCTTGGAATAAAATTCTTAACAGAAAAACAAACGAAACTGAAATTTTTGAACCAATAGATCTTTTGGATGAAAAGATGCCAGATTATACAGCATAAGAAATAGAAGGCTGGTGTCGAGACACTGAAAACGACCCAGGATTTTAAATGATGATGAAATTGTTGCTGAAACTTTGAATGAAAATCGGAACTCTACGGAAGAAGTGGTGATAAAGTTCAAGATAGTGGACCTTCTCATAGAGAAGCATGCAATTCATTAGATATTGCAATGAATTGGCTAAAACGTCAAAATGATGTTGATCCAGTTCAGTTGATTTATTTAAAAAGAATAAGGGATATGGCTGCTCAAAAAAGAGCATCTTCTTCGAAACAAAAGTCTTTGCTGGATTTCTTTTGCAATGGAAAATAAAGAAAAATGTGGTAAAATCAGTAAGTGACAAAAAAATTATATAAAGCTGAAATATGATAAAAATAATTCCAAATAAAAAAAAAATATTTAAAAATTGAAAAAAAAAAAAATTTTAAACACGCCAGAGCTATTTTAGATCGTACTGCCAGTCCTAAGCCTAGAAATAGTGTGAAGGGAAGTGCAAAAATAATCATTTAAACTAGATTTTAAATAACTTTCCAATTATCCGAACCAGGTTCGGTCCCGAGCAGTTTGAATAATCGGCGCTCTACTGTAATACTAATTGCATGTCATAATAAATCTTTTCTTAAACTGGGTGCAAAAGTTGCATTTTTGAATTTAATGCATATTTTTTTTTTTTTTTTTTTTTTTTTTTTTTTTTNCGCTTTCTTTTTTTTTTTTTTTTTTTTGTGTTCTCGAATAGAAAATGTACTTACAAAAAATGGTGAATTGCAAAAATTACAACTAAAATTTAATCAGGGTTCCCACTCTATGATGAGATTGAAATTCAAGGACCTTAATCTAAGACCAATTTTAAAAATTATTCTCTTCTATTTTACTAGAAGCAACAATGCTTGTTGTGGCAATAATTAATTTCAAATATAATACCTAAATGCTTTGCCTATATAGAGAGAAGAGAGTATATGTATTATGGACTAAAATTTATATTTTTTTAAAAACAACCCTACTGGTTTTACATATTAATTCACAAAATCATTTTCAGCACAATCTATAACTAATGGTAATGAGGTGTTAATGGTGAAATCCTTTAATCCTGTGTATTTCCATGTGAAGGCTGCATGAAAGACAGAGCTAAATCTTAGGTATTCCATATTCCATGACTATTCCATAACCCCCTCCTCTCCTCTATTAAACATCGTTTCTGAAATTATTCATCCATAATTTACACAACCTTCTCTAAATGTTATGCAGCAACAATTCTTTCTGAAAATAAAAATTAGAAGGAACATATCCCATTTTCACCATGTTTAAAAGCATTATTCGTTATGTGTAATCCACAACTGCCAATGAATATGACCTGGTGGGAATATTTCTCTTTTAATTCACACTGAAGCTTCTAATAGAATTTCCAATTGACATAGGGTCCATCCATGGATAATTGAAGTATTTTAGAGAGCTTTTAACCATCATCCATGCATTTGTAAAAAGAGGACAAAATATTTTCTGCAGTTCCATGACCCATAAATTGGGAGGTAAGATACTTAGTGCAAACTTTATTATCAATTCCTTACCATAATGTCCATCTGCTTAGATTGTAGAGACTGATTTAACGTCTCATCAAAGAGTACAGTGTAGCAATCAACATTCTTCAGCTCATTTATAAGAATCCCTTTGAAGTATAGTGCCAATCCAAAGGAGCCCAAATAGGCTCACTTTGTGGCACTACAAAAAAATTGTCTCGCTATACAGCTATCAGCAAACATTTTGGAGAACAATTTACTAATCCCTTCACAGGAGTTACATGAATAATTACTAGTGATGCACTTCAGACTCCAGAGAATTTCAGCATCAAGCACATTCCTTTTGACCAGATAAGAAGACAATGTTACCTCGGCCACTAAAGTTTCTGTTTCACATGGGGCACACGATGTTGAAGGAGTATTTACACCAGATGAATTAGATGTTGATGTCTTTGGAAAAAGAGAACTCAGGGCATGAGACTGCTTTTTTGTTTTACCTTTCTTTCATGTGTGATTTCAGAGCAGATTCTTCCATTTTCGCGATATCGATCTCCTTCATGCATAATCGGCACTTGGCTCTGAACTTCTTTTCGGGCATCGATAAAATCCATTCTTTATAAGCTTGATTATCCATCCATTGGGGATTAAAATAGCACTTCCCAGGCATAACTAGTCTAAACTACATAACACAAATACGAAGCCGTGCCTTTGCGAATACGCTTTACAATAAAGTTTTGAAATGACGCAAACGTAAGGACAAGTGCGGATGGTAAAACGGCAAATTTATTGAAAACTACAAGGTACATATTGTTACGAAATTCGAGAGTATTCTAGTTTCGATAAGAAAAAAGAAGATCTAAGCATATGCGACAGAAGATGAAGTGGAGTCTCGCCCCGAACGCATTGATTGTCTGCTGTGCTCCGCGCGCTTGGCAGACACCAAGATGCTAGGCCCGGTTAGAAACGGTGGCGTTAAAAACCACGTGAGAGAGCTCGGGAACAAAACAGAAAGATTCGCGGGTGTTTTATAAAAAGGGCCGCCGGCAGTATTGGACAAATTCAAGGACCTATCAAGTTTTTCAAGGACCTAAGACGTTTTTCAAGCACCTAAATTTAGCAAAAAAAAATTCAAGGACCGTGGGAACCCTGTTAATGTGCTTATAGCAAATTTAATTTAAAAATTTCTGATAAAGCATGAATTTTATTCATTTTTTATGTTTTAAATGTTAAAAATGTAAGTTTTTCATTAAAAATTGTTAGTTTAGTAGCTTTAACTATTAATAAGTATTTTATTATTATTAATAAGTTATACTATTAATAAGTATTACTATTAATAAGTATTTATAAGTATTTTATTAATAAGTATTACTAATTGTAAGTATTTTATGCCCAGATGCAAAAAAAAAAGTTTCAGAGTTGACCCCCCCCCCCCCCCNGTTGCCCCCCCCCCCCCCCGAGAACATCTCTATGGGTGCTAT